GAATCCAAAGCAGGCTCCAGGCTCTGAGCTGTCAGCACAGAGCCTGATGCAAGGTTCGAACCCATAAACCATGAGATCATGACCTGAGCCGAAGTCAGATGCTCAGCCAACTGAGCCACCCAGGCGCCCTTGACAGTCTTGATAATACACGCTTTTAGGTACAGAGAACAGCTAGAGGAGAGGGTTGGAAAGGATAAGATTGCTGGTCACTTAAGAAAGTTTTATCCCAGGGCCCAAAAGTCAGCAGGAAATGGAAACCAGAGTCGTGGGTGTAAAAACCAAGGCAGAAACCCAATTATATTAAATGGGTCAAAAAATAGGTACATCTACAGACAGTAGGAGGGTAGGTAGAGAATTTCAACATTTATAGACAATGAAAGTACTTTGCACTGTGGATATCAGGTCTGTCAAGAGCAAAATTAATTTCAAGCCTGCAAATTAGAGGAGCTGATGTCTTTTGGATTTCTCAGGTTGACTCTGAAACTACACCAGACCGAGTGTATAGGAGGTTGACGTTGGTGGATGCACCTGGAACAGCATGGAGAAGAAGGTGCTGCCAGCTCAGAGCCTGGAGCCTGCTTCAGATTCTGTGTCTCCCTCTCTCTCTCTGCCCATCCCCCACTCCTGCTCTGTCTCTCTCTCTCTCTCTCTCTCCCCTCTCAAAAATAAACAAACGTTTAAAATTTAAAAAAAAAAAACATACCTCTAAAACATCAGTAGTTAATGTTTGTTGAAATGCCAGGCACTGTTCTAAGTACTCAAGAGAAATTAACTTGATTACTTTTCATAGAATCAAGTAAGTACCATTATACTCCCCCTTTACAAATAACATATCCAACTCTTTGAAAAGTTAAAAATTTGCCCGAGCTCCCACACAGAACATGCTAGAACTGGAACTCAGACCTAGGTAATACAGCACCTAAGCCCATACTGTTATCCACTAGGGTACAGTCCTCTAAGAAGAGAAAGACATTGTATTGGGTAAAAAAAAAATAGAGGGGTGCCTGGGTGGCTCGGTTGGTTAAGCGTCTGACTCCAGATGTTGGCTCAGGTCACGATCTCACAGTTTGTGAGATCAAAGCCCACATCGGGCTTTGTGCTGACAGCACAGAACCTTCTCTCTTCTTCTCTCTCTGCCCCTCCCCCACTCGTGCTCGTGCTGTCTCTCAAAATAAATAAATAAACTTAAAAAAAACCACTCAATCACTGTTTTTAAGCCACTAATAGAATAAATAGTGTAGTTTTTTTTTTTTTTAAAGGCTAACAAGAGGGGCACCTGGGTGACTCAGTTGGTTGAACATCTGACTCCAGCTCAGGTCGTGATCTCACGGTTCATGAGTTCAGGCCCCGCATCAGGCTCTGTGCTGACAGCTCAGAGCCTGGAACCTGCTTCGGGTTCTGTGTATCCCTCTCTCTCTGCCCCTCCCCTGCTCTCTCTCTCTCTTTCTCTCTCTCTCTCTCAAAAATAAATAAACATTAAAAAAATTTTTTTAAAGACTAACAAGGAATAAGGACTTGTTTAGGATGGAAGTCAGACAGTGATGATAAAAGAAAGAAGAAGGAAAAGAAGAAGGAGAAGGAGAAAAGAGTGTGCAAGAGGCAGAGAGAGGAAAGATGCACCAACAACGATGGTGAGGAAACCTACATGGGCAAACAGGATGGAAAGTACAGCAACAATGCAGTGACTCAACGGGAACCCACAGCTTCCTCTCTAGTGAAGCGAGTAAAGAGCACTAATGTGAGGCAACATGCTTCTCCGAGATGGGACAGGCCAGAGTAAACCAAAACCGGTTATGAGTGACTATGTCTAGACCAAGAGTAAAAACTGCTTTTCTTTCCATAAGTGCTCTGGTCTATGCACTGAAGATGAAATCCATAAGAAACAGACGTTAGACACGCTTATATTTCTTTTACAGTCAAGTGCATACTTCACTTCCATGTTAAGGTTGTAACTATTCCCCCAAACCACTATATATTTTTATATTCCATTCTAATCCTTCCTAGGTTGTTCTTTTCTTACTTTTTATTGTCTGGATAACCTGTATATTTTGTTGAGGTTTTTCATTTGCCAAATAAATAAGAATTTTATAAGAAAAATAAGTGTATAAGATGGCTCCTCATGCATTTCACAGAATCCAAGGAGATGAACAACCAGGTTTCCATCAGTGTGACCCAAGGCAACTTGGGGGAGTACAGACACAGTGTATTTGGATCTTAAACCTAGGGCTCTGCCATCCACAAGGTTCAATTCCTAAAACCAGGCCCTGTGTCTCATAGTTCATATTCAGAATCCTTGAGACAGAATTGGATTTGATAGCCTGGACCAAGTAAAGACAAAAGAAGAGAGAATCAGGTAATCACAAGTGTGATTACTAAGCTCTCTGTGGACAAATCCCAAAAGAAACGAGATAGCGAAGAGCTAAGGAGGATGGCCCTAAACATCCTATTTCATCTCACTGTTTCCTATTACGCAAAAATCTTCCTAGAAAATATGCACAACTTACAATTAGCTTATTTACTTGCTGTGGTGTATAGAAGTCAGATTTTTGAGATGTCAGAAAGCAGAGTAGAAAGTGACAGAATCAGGTATCAAAATCCCAAAAGGTCAGCTAGGTGGGCCGAAAGTAACAAGAAGCAACTGAGCATGAATGAATATTAAAAAATGTATTTGCAGGGCACCTGGGTGACTCAGTCAGGGAAGTGTCAGACACTTGATTTGGGCTCAGGTCATGATCTCACGGTTCGTGGGTTCATGCCCCAGGTTGGGCTCCATGCTGACAATACGGAGCACACTTGAGATTCTCTCTCTCCCTCTCTCTGTCCCCCCCCTCCAAAATAAATAAATAAACATTTAGAATAATAATATTTTTTATTTTTTTTCAGAGATGTAATTGTTACAGTAAACAGTGCTTTGGGAAAACATCCTCAACACACCCGAGGCTCTGCTACCTTGCCTAGCCAGTTAGGTTGACTTCATTTCTACTTCATTTCTACTCTACATTTCACAAAAGCCATGGAGTTAGAGATTATAAAATATATAAAATCATAAAGCAGAAAATTATATAAAAATTCTAAAGCAGAGAATATTAGTTTTTTACTCAATAATATGACACATATGTCATATTTACATATTCAGAATCTATTCTTTCCTATAAAAGACAAGACTAATTAGATTAAATGAAAAGGCTCAGCTTAACCCCCTGCACATCCATATTATTAGCCAACTGGACAAAGGACAGTATGAAATATTTTTTTTTCTTTTAAAGAGAGAGAGAATGAGCGTGCAAGCAGTAGAGGAAGGTGAGGGAGAGAGAAAGAGAATCTCAAGCAGGCTCCATGCCAGTGTGGAACCTGTCACAGGCTGAATCCCACGACCCTGGGATCATGACCGGAGCTGAAATCAAGAGTTAGATGCTTAACCAACTGAGCCACCCGATGTCCCCAACATATAACCATTTAGGGAGTAATTAAACATTGGATCACACATCTCTTTAACGTATGGCACTTTTATCTTATTGGATTTTACTGCAGAGTGAGGTAATTTCATCTTTATGATTCACTTCAATTTAAAAAAAAAAAAAAGCCCTCTATGTTACAACTGTAAACACCAACTTATAAGAAAATGAAAAAATCTTAATAAAACACATTGTTTCCTACATGTACCCACCCTGACATTATGGTCTAGACACCTCAACATCTTTAGATTATATCACTTTGTACCAGACCATTAAACTGTTTAAATAAGTAAGGATTCTTGCTTTAATCAAGTTACACCTTTCTCCTTAAAAGTTCTGTTTTGTATTTGATAACATAGAACAAAAACAGTGATTTGCACCCAGATATTCCCCTTTTTGAACCTCATAGGTACAAACTAAATTACACAAGCACCTCAATTTTAGAAAACAAAAAAAAAATTGCATTTAAAAAAATTTGATTCAGGGTGCCTGGGGGGCTCAGTCAGTTAAGCATCTGATTCTTGATTTGGGCTCAGGTCATGATCTCACAGCTGGTGAGATCAAGCCTCCCATTGGGTTCTATGCTGACAGCACAGAGCCTGCTTTAAATTCTCTCTCCTCCCTCTCTCTGCCCCCTCCCCTGCTTATGCTCCCCCAATAAATAAATTTTAAAAAAATAAAATAAATTTTAAACATTTTAAAAATTGCTTCATTCATGAAAAGCCAATAAAATGGGGATTATTTTAGAGAATACTAAAATATTTAGAGAATGCTAAAAGTTTCTCTGCAGAATTCAAAAGCACAAGAATTTAAGGGTATTATGCTGAGCGAAATACGTCAGGCAAAGAAGGACAGATACCATATGTTTGCACGTATAAGAGGATTAGGAGGAACTTAATGGAGGACCGTGGGGGAGAAGAAGGGAGGAAATGGTGGGGGAGAGGGAGAGAGGCAAACCATGAGAGACTCATGAATGCCGAGAACAAACTGAGGGCTGATGGGGGTGGGGCAGAGGGGAAGGGGGGTGATGGGGGAGGGCACTTGTGGGGAGGAGCATTGGGTGTTATATGGAAATCAACTTGACAATAAACTATTAATACAAAATTTTTAAAAAGCACAAGTTAGGAGAAAGATTAATTTACTTAGCAAAAAGTTTTAGGTGTTGGCTATAAGATAGGCACTGGGATTAATACTATATAGTCACTGCCATCAAGGGCCATCTAGTCAATATAAAAATTATTCCACTTGGAATCACTGTATTTCATAATCTCTATCCAGGAGCAGGGCCAGGCTTGAGCAGAGTCATTGTTAGAAACCATTATACATTTTATTCTAAAATTTGTATATTGAAGCCTTCTTTCCTCCTGAGGGAAACGCCATGTGCACTGATGATTTTAAAGAGAGAAATAATACTCATCTATCCATTTATTCGTTCTAGAAATACAGATTGAGTTCTTATTTTTGCAAGGCAGAGCATTGCCTTAATTTTCTAGACTTAAGTCCTAACATCTCGACTTGAAAGCTTCATGGGGAACTCATACTCACAATGTCCAAAAATGAGCTCTTGGGTTCCCATCTGAAACAGTCTTAAGTTGCACGTTTCTTCATACCTGGAAAATTTATTTTAAAAAGGGGGTAAATTGAAATCTTGACATTCCTCAACTCAAAGGGCTTCGCTGGCTTTCTATCTCGCCCAGAATAACATGTAAAAATCCTTTTCAAGGCCTACGAGGTATCACGTGATCTGGCCCCTCTACCTCAGGGACCTTCTCCCTGCAAACACCTCCATTCCATTGGCATTTCATTTTAAACAATTCTCAAGATTCAGAGTCTTTGTTTTCAAGATGACTTAGCCTGGACCCTTCCCTCAGAAAGCTGCCTGGCTCAGTTTTTCTCTCTGCTTGAACTTGCTACCCAAATGCCACTTCAACAGAGAGGCTTCCTAGGTCAGCCTGTGCAAATCAGTATCTCTCCATTACGTTCTGTTTCTTCATCCTGCTTTCTATGTTTCTCCAAAGCATTTATCCTATGATACGTGATGTATTTATTTGTTTATTTACTGTTCCCATCCCATTAGAATCTAATATGTATGTGAACAGGAGCTCTGATTTTTGGCTACCTCGTCCCCACCTAGGAAAAAACGTTCCCATAATAGGTTTGCAACGCAGGTTTCCTGAATGAGTATCTGATGAGGCATTGGGCTAGACATACCTTCTATCAACAATGCTTGTTTGTTTTCTGAATTACGCATTAAATTCTGTATTGCCATATAAGCTTGAGCGTCTAAGCACTGCAGCCTACATGAGTGTTTGCCAAATAGATCCAGCACAAAATACTGTTGTGGCCATTACTTAGAAGTATCACCAAAACTTAATTTATCCAAAGGATACAGGTGTGCTGTTTCGAAGGGGCACATGCACCCCAATGTTTATAGCGGCACCATCGACAATAGCCCAAGTATGGAAAGAGCCCAGATGTCCATCAATGGGTGAATGGATAAGGAAGACGTGGTATCTTCCTTGGAGTGTCACTCAGCGATCAAAACGAATGAAATCTTGCCACTTGCAACTACGTGGATGGAACTAGAGGGTATTATGCTAAGCGAAATTAGTCAGAAAAAGACAAATATCATATGTGGAATTTAAGATACAAAACGGATGACCATAGGGAAGGGAAGCAAAAATAATACAAAAACATGGAGGCAGACAAAACATAAAAGACTCCTAAATATACAGAACAAACTGAGGGTTTCTGGAGGGGTTGTGGGGGGCAGGATGGGATAAATGGGCAAGGGGCATTAAGGAGGACACTTGTTGGGATGAGCACTGGGTCTTATAAGTAGAGGATGAATCACTGGATTCTACTCCTGACATCATTTTTGCACTATATGCTAAGTAACTTGGATGTAAATTTAAAAATAAAATAAACACATAAAAAGAAGTACCACCAAAAATTAGTTGGGAAAATCCCTGCACATCCTACAGTTATTTCACTCTGAAGATGCATGATGCAGTTGGCCCCATAAAGAAGGGTCCTGAGATTCTTACATAAATTCATCTTAAAGTTGAAGAAGACACCAGTCTGAAATTAACTTGAAGAGTGAACACCTTTTCCTGATATATCTGGTGATGATTGCATCCTGTAGAGCTGCCTTCAACAAACCACCAGAGTTTGGGTCATAGGCCCAGGTTAGGCCATCAGTTTCCCAAGCAGTGAGCACTCACCGATACCCTGGGCAAGTTCAGCTCTGAACTCCACCGAGGGTTGCAGTGCTTCAAGAACCGACCTAGCCCGTTCTGAACTGATTGGGAAATTCACAAAGAAGAATCAAGCAATCATCTTAGTAATTAAGTAAAAGTTGTGGGGGAAAGAATGACAACAAGATCATTTATATTCCAGAGATGCAGGCAAAAAACCACCTTTACAATTTGTTCACTTCCTCCCACCCACACGTGATCTGATTTCTTTCAAGTGAAACGTATCACTGTTCATTATATTCTAGATTGACCCTAGGGGGAACTGAAGGCGTATTCTACTTTTAGCCGTCTTCTATATTCTCAGAAAACAAATTAACAGGAAGCTCTGGACAACTCTGAACGTCACTTGTAGTATGAGAGCACATGACTCAGAGAAACCACACTGTCTTAAAAGGGCCATGTAATCACCTAATCATCCTGATGATTTCTAATCATCTTGATTTATTTAAAACCCTAAACCCCTGTACAAATAACAGGTTGAAGTCCAAGCCTCTCGTGCCTTTCACTGTAATAGTTACGAAAATAATGTGTTAGATGTGGTAGTTCAGCTTCCCCAAGGAATGTTTCCATGACTTTTATATGCTAACTTCATAGTTCACACCATTTCTGTTCTCTTGTGCTATAAATAAAGAATAGCAGATGAGCACCCGTCTAAGATAGCAGTCATCATAAAATTATGGAGACTGGTGTTTAAGCTAAGGCCTGAAGATATACAGCAATTTGCTGGACATATTGGGCAAGACACCAACACTTCGGCATTATATTTTTCTTTCTTTAAAACAAAAATTTTTCAGTCAAGCAGAGAAGGACAGATACCATATGTTTGCACATATAGGAGGATTAGGAGGAACTTAACAGAGGACTATGGGGGAGGAGGGGAAGAGAAAGGGAAAAATATTGGAGGAGAGGGAGGGAGGCAAACCATGAAAGACTCTTGACTGCTGAGAACAAACTGAGGGCTGATGAGGGTGGGGGAGAGAGGAAACGGGGTGATGGGCATGAAGGAGGGCACTTGTGGGGGTGAGCACTGGGTGCTATATGGAAACCAACTTGACAATAGACTATTAAAAAAATGTAAAAAAATTTTTTTAACATTTATTCATTTTTGAGAGGCAGAGAGAGCATGAGCAGGGAGGGGCAGACAGAGAGGGAGACACAGAATCCAAAGCAGGCTCCATGCTCATAGCTGACAGCACAGAACCCGACACGGGGCTCAAACCCATGGACTGGTGAGATCATGACCTGAGCCGAAGTCAGACGCTTAACCCACTGAGCCACCTGGCATTATATTTTTTCCTTAATAGTAAAATGTACTTACTATGATTCACATTTCATACAGCGGTGACTTTGAAGTGAAATAATGTATGTAAAGATCTTACCGTTTTAGAAAACACTCATTGTGTTCGATTTCACACTCACTTTGGTATCTAGTATCTATTACGTTGACTCCTGGGACAAGAAAGATCCCATTTCAGCAGCTCTTCACAGAAATGATACCCAAAAACCTGAACACCAAACACCACCCATAGTTTCACCACAGTGTACTGTAACCTGGAACTGTATCAACTCTCTTCAACTTGACACACTCTCTGTGAATTTCAGTACAGAGATGGGAGATAGGATCCCAAACCATCCATTCATTAGGGAATAAAGGAGACTTCACTAGCTATGGGTCACCTGGAGATCATGCTTTCAATTTTGGTTTTTACTGGCTCCAAGTTGAATGGCTGCATGGCATCAAGAACAAAGGGCTATATAGAATGATAGAAACATTCCAATTTAATTAATTTACTTAATAAACTTAATTTTGCAGTATTAAGTCATTTTGTGGAATGCTTGAGTGGCTCAGTTGGTTGGGCATCTGACTCTTGGTTTCAGCTCCGGTCATGATCTCACGGTTTGTGAGTTCGAGCCCCATATCGGGTTCTGCACTGACAGTGTGGAGCCTGCTTGGGATTCTCTCTCTCCCTCTCTCTCTCTGCCCCTCCCCTGCTTGTGCTCTTTCTTCCTCAAAATAGATAAACAAACAAACTAACTAATTTTTTGAGGAAAGTGGCTATGAAAATGAAAATAAACTATTTTTAACTGCTCCAGAAAAAAAATTTGGTCCTACACCTGCTGGTAGCCTCTTTGCACAGAATCACCGAAAACCCGTCCCACACATGAATAATGAATCAATTGTTTTTAAAAAAAAAAACAATTTAAGCACCCCCGTCTTGGATAAGCTTAGTATAAGAAAGAAAGGTGTGAAAAAAGAATTAATATTGCTATGCTAATAAAATACGTTTGCATCACAATTTTAAAGTGCAAAGTCAGTCCTGAATTTGAGTTAAAAGTATGTATCCAGGACCCCAGGGACAGTGGTACAAAGGGACCCAGGGCAGGCACTCCTGGCCAGAGGGTTCATCTCTATGAGTAACTTAAATGACCCCCCAGATTGGAATATCTGGCCTAATGCCAGGCCTGATAGAGGTAACGGAAGAAGATGGAATTACTCCCTCTTGGTCAGTGCTGGATGGGCTGCTGTCCGTAGGATTCGGTCCAGGCAATCCCAGAAAGAGAAAAAGAGAGGGAAGGGTACCGTCAGTGAGCAGCCACTCTCCATCAGGGTCTTGAAGCCAAGTTCCACGTCGTGGTCTCAGAAAGCAGGCATGCAGTGGCTCACCGGTCTTTGGAACTTGAAAAGGGAACAAAACGAGAACGACTAGTTACGAGAAGCTGGTAACCTCAAGGGGAGCAAGTTGTAGAAGAAGAGAAGCTTCTGAAACAGGAACCGGTTCAGGTCATGCAAGAAAAGAGATCCTTGGACCTCTTGAGAAGGGCTACTGGGGTTCCTGGAAAAGGAAGGTAACTGGCAAAAGAGGGCCAGGTTGTGCCAAAAGAGTCTGATGCTCTTTTTTGTTGTTGTTGTTAATTTTTTAAAGTGTTTGCTTACTTTTGAGAGAGGGAGACAGAGCACGAGTAGGGGAGGGGCAGAGAGAGAGGGAGATCACAGAATTGAAGGACCAGGCTCCGAGGTGTCAGCACAGACCCTGATGAGGGCCTGGAACTCACAAACTGAGATCATTACCTGAGCCAAAGTCAGAGGCTTCACCACTGAGCCACCCAGGCGCCCCAAAAAGCCTGACACCCCTATGAAAAGACCGAGAATGCACTGCAGCCTGCTCCTGTCTTGTGGCAGAAGGCCGGAAATCAAGAACTTATGGGTCGCAGCCTCCGCTGACCCCGTTACTGCTGACCCGCACATCCGGCGGGCCAACCTGACACACTGAAGCACCTTGCGTATTGTGGCGATGCCTAGAACACCACCAAACCAGGAAGGGAGACTCACGTGGCTGTACCTCAAATACTGGCAACTGATAGTTGAACTTGGAAGCGTAAGAGAGTTGAGAGAGCCATGCGAAGTCCAAGTCCTTGGCGCAGCGTTGAGGGTTTGTCTCAACATTTGCCTGTTTCCTCCTACCACGGGTGCATGGCGGCCACTGGGCGGGAGAGCCTCCTTCCACCCCCGCCGCCCTCTGAGACCGACACACGGTGTCTTCCTTGAACTTCTCCAGCTATTAAAGATGCAGCTTCTCACGGGAAGTTTTTTTAAAGCTGTAATATTTTATTAGGCCGAACAGTATGACCTCATAGCTTAGCTATAGGGTACGATTGTTTTGAAGAAAGCCAAATGTAGTGTTCGTCGCCACTGAAAGTTTTCAGTTTTTATCACTCCCTAAATAAATAAATAAATAAATAAATAATAAATGACCTCACTGAAAGTTTTCGGTCTGTTTTGATTACTCCTTAAACAGATTCCGTTTTCTCTTCAAATTACTTTTCTCTCGCCTAGAATTACTTTTAGGAGCTGTCAGGTAATGGAGAGAATTGCCGAATGATGACAACAGAAAATAGTGACATTGTCGAGGTTTCAGGCCATCAGTGAAGATGTTGCTCATCAGAGGGAAAGGAAGTGTTTCTTGTATCCAGTAGGGATTTGGCTTGTGTCTGTAGTTAGTAAGCACATATTATTTATCAGCAGTGATCTATAATAAAAGATACCTGCCATTTAAAAATTTTAAAAGTAGGTATCCATAAAATATTAATTTTTAAAAATTAAAAAATTTGGGGGGGCCCCTGAGTGGCTCAGTTGGTTAAGTGTCTGACTTCGGCTCAGGTCATGATCTCGCAGTCTGTGGGTTCGAGCCCCCTGTCAGACTCTGTGCTGACAGCCAGCTCAGAGCCTGGAACCTGTTTCAGATTCTGTGTCTCCCTCTCTCTGTGACCCTCCCCTGCTCACACTCTCTCTCTCTCTCTCAGAAATAAATAAAACATTAAAAAATTTTTTAATAAAAACATTAAAATTAAAATTAACAAAATTTTAAATCAGCTTCTTCCCCTGAGCATTGACCCTCCTTAACATGGTGGCTGTAGTCTTGAAACGCTATTTTCCACTAAGAGAGAGACAAGTTTCTCATTAAAATGGATGATTTCATGTTTGGGGGAAGGAACCTGAAAGGAACCTGGAATCATTCCAAATAGCGAGGAAGTTATCAAATACTTCTAGGATCAGGTCTCAAATACTCAGAAGTCAACTTGAAGAGTCCTTCTCTTGTCAAAAATGATATTCTCTGAGATTTAATATGAAGAAGAATTCCAATGTATTGACACCCATCAAATATTTAAATCCAGGAGTTTATAATGGTATTATAAGAATTAATTGAACCACCTTACCAGAGTTACAGAGAACAAATTCACTAATGTTTGATAACTAGTAAATAAATTTAAAGAATTAAGTATATAACCTGTGTTTCTTAGATGAAATGTTACTGGTACAATAGTTGAGAGGAAGACTCTCTTAATAAAAGTATCCCAGCAGATAAATGACAAGGAAATTATACAATTACAATATCAGCATTTTGGGACACAATGGATTAATGACTCTAGTCATCAAATACCCACCAGTGGCTACCAACATCACAAAAAGAGAAAAACTGTATAATGGAGCTATATAGCTGTTCAGTAATGAAATTCTTACTAATGAATAGAAAAATAAGTCACACCATTAATCATTTTGAATAGAATTATGGCTTTTGAAAGGGTTCATAGTATACTAAAAGCTAGAGATAAAATTATACAGTAGGACAAATCACCATAACTTAAGAATACCAAAGGTAGAAGGAATATTTTAAAAGAGTCCAGAGAAAAAGAATAAATCTCCTACAAAGTAAGAAAAATCTGATTTACCTCATCTTTCTCAACAGTACCACTGGATGCAAGAAGACAGTGGAATAATATTTTTTTATCTATTAAAAAAGTATTTGGAATTAAAATTTATATCTTTTTTTTCACATTTATTTATTTTTGAGAGACAGAGAGAGACAGATTACAAGTGGGCAAGGGGAAGAGAGAGAAAGAGACACAGAATCCGAAGCAGGCTCCAGGCTCTGAGCTGTCAGCACAGAGCCCGACATGGGGCCCGAACCCACAAACTGTGAGATCATGACCTGAGCTGAAGTCGGATGCTTAACCAACAGAGCCACCCAGGCGCCTCAGCCAAATACTCTTTTATATACAAGAACATTATAAGAAGAATATTTTACCCAAATAAATCACTTAAAATACTCACAAAGATGTCCTTAAACATATAAATAAATATAGGCAAGTGCTGCCAGAGATATGAGAGGGGAGAATCAAACATTTTAATAAAATGTATTGTTTTAGAAAATCACCTAAGGCCTTTAGTGAAGTTCATTGTTGTCTTGAAAAACTTAAGACCAAAGAAATTCTTAAAAGAGTGTATATCTGTAACAATCTAAAAGTTAATTACAGACAACAGCAACATGGAGCACAGGGAGATTAAAAAAAAACAAAAGGCAATTAAGAACGTGCTAACCAAAGGGCGACTGGGTGGCTCCATCAGTTAAGTGCCATGATCTCCCTGTTTGGTTGAAACCCTGCGTCATTGGGCTCTGTGGTGACAGCTTAGAGCCTGACGCCTGCTTTGGATTCTGTGTCCCTCTTTTTTTGCCCCTCTTCCCGCTCACATTCTCTCTCTCAAAAATAAACATAAAAAAAATGTGCTAACATTGCTTGTCTTTTTTAGGAGAAATAGAAAGACATTGATAAGTGGGTTAGTTATTACTTATGCTTGTCAAGTTTTCTGGTTTTACTGTCTTCTGATCATATGGGATGATTTTACTTCTCAGTCACTAAAGTTAAGTAGAGCTTTGTGTCTCATTCTGGCCAATAATATGTGACGTGTCACTTTTAGGTCAAAGTATTTGATACTGATGAGGGACCCTCCAGAGCTGTCTTTCCTCCATAGTCATTGCTATTTTTCCACACTGTGGCTGCTCCATGTGTCATAGAGCCCAGCCAGCTAGAAATTGATATGCAGCATGAGGAAGACATATCTTTGTTTCGTTTTGGTATAATTGTTTTTCACAGTACCATACAGTATCATACAGTCTATCCTAATACAATGAAGAAATTAATAAGAGGAATGATTGGGACACCTCGGTGGCTCAGTCGGTTAAGCGTCCGACTCCAGCTCAGGTCATGATCTCATGGTTCATGGGTTCAATCCCCTGGAGCCTGCTTTGGATTCTGTGTCTCCCTCTCTCTGCCCCTCCCCCACTCACACTGTGTCTCTCTCTCTCTTAAAAATAAATAAACATTTAAAAATTTGGGGCTCCTGGGTGGCTCAGTCGGTTAAGCGTCCGACTTCGGCTCAGGTCATGATCTTGTTGTGCCCGAATCACAAGTCCCCAGTGACCTCAGAAGCCAACACCAATGCAAGAACAAAAGGATCTTTATTATAAGCTTGAGCAGGGGCTCATCTGCCTACCGACCCAGCAGCAGCAGCAGGGGGGAGCCCCGAACAATAGTGAGCAGGGTTTTTAAGGGGTAAGGGATGGGAGTGTTACAGTACACATGTTGTACACCAATCATATTTGTATAGCACCCCTGGCAACAGCTTGACCATTCAGTACCTGTGAGGTGTCCGTTACTTTTGGCGGAGCCCAATTATGGCCTTTTGAGACTCTTTTGAAAATGACCAATTATGAGGTGAGTTAGGCACAGGAGAGCAGCCCTTGTCTCAGCCCGCAGGAATGTTTTTAACCTCCTCTGATTGGCTAATTGGAGAGAGGTTTCGGCCTTGAACAATCTGCGGTTTTTTCCTGAGACTGCTGCTATGTGCAGCCCGAGGTTGCTTTTAATGGGGGTCTTAATTTTAAAATGGCGTTATTTGGGTTCTTCAATCTCACGGTTCGTGGGTTCGAGCCCCGTGTCAAGCTCTGTGCTGACAGCCAGCTCAGAGCCTGGAGCCTGTTTCAGATTCTGTGACTACCTCTCTCTCTGACCCTCCCCTGCATACGCTGCCTCTATCTCTCTCTCAAAAATAAATAAAACATTAAAAATGTTTTTAATTAAAAAAATAAGAATAATCACAAGTATGAATCTGAGGTTAAGAGTACCCACTATAAGACAAAAATGCAATGTAACTTTTTGAAATAAGAAAATATTTTGATTAATCTAATGAAAAGCAGGAAGCAATTTTTAGAAAGAAATAAAATTGAAACCGAGTACACTGAAAGTATGAAATAAGATGACAATGATGTGTATGAAGTAATCCCAATAAATAGAAATAGGTTGAACTTACTATTTAAAAACCAGAGAGCAATACAAAACAAAAAAACCCTTCAAGTTGGATCAAAAGCTGTTGTCTACTAAGCACATACATAAGACAAGCAGAAAAATTAAAACATTTGAAACAATGAAATGAAATCTAAAA